GTCATCTTATCTTGCGATAGTAGGTAACTGTTTGACACATTTAATGTGAGCATTAAATGCATTTAAGAAAATAGTACATCTTATTTAATCAATGAGACTACTTATCAATTTTCCATATCAAACAAAACTAGCAGAAGCAATGTCATTGCAAAACAGTTATAACAGTGACATTGTCTTCTTTTTTTCGTGAATTTAGTGATTTAGTCTTAACGGAAAGCATGGTTATTCTCATTAATAGATTCGTGAATTTTCAAACGTATTTTGATTCGATTTGTTAAGAAATAAAGCATTAAAAGTAAATTTTGTCATTAGTCTTGATAAATAATAAATATTTAATGTATACGAGACAGAATGTATGTTTCATCTAATTAACAATGTCTTACAGATGATTTACATCTTACACTTCATCTGATAAGGCTCTCAAATATATATTTCAAAGACATTTTTGCAAACATTTATTCTATATAAAAATATTTTATTTGTTAGTATTAAAACTCTAAGTTTAGGGGATATTTTTTTGACTTAACATATATTTTGGAAAAGAAAGTTAAGAAGATTTTTTTTTTTATAATAGGAGAATGTAAATTTTGGGAGGAAGAGATGTAGAAAATTTTGGAAGGAAGAAAAAATAGAGAAATAAAAACTTTTGGAGGGAGAAACAAAAATCTCCAAAGCGAGTAATGTAAAAGAATATAAAAATACACTCTTTGGTCCTTGACTTTTAACCAAATCACACGAACCAATATATAATGGTTATATTAGCTGATTTTATTGGATTTATAAAACAAAATCATGAATTACCAATTTTACTTTTCTTACTTGAAAATCGAATTTTCATGAGAGTCAAAGATATTACTTCATATAAATGTTTATGCATCAATACCAACAAAAATAATTAAAAAATAATAATTGGAGAGTCTAAAATGTGAGCTAGAAAAGCACTCCCTCACGTAATCATTAATATGAGTAAAACATGAAGAAAAAAAATTAATACTTTAAATTAATGATAAAGTGTCATACAAAAAAGGATCAACAAATTATCTTAAATTATGTTTTATAATAAGGGTCGAAGTGAATGATTTTTTATGAGAAGTAAAAAAATATATTTACATTGGTGACAATATTTGAATATGAATATTTCTTAATAAGTTGTATATACAATTATCAAAATAAATTCAAAACATCTTATTTAATCAAGGAGACTACTTATCAAATTTTCATACTAAAAACTTGTAGAAGCAGTGTTATTGTAAAACAACTATAACAGTGACTTTATCTATTTTTTTCTTCGTGAATTCAGGGATTTAGTTTTGATAGAAAGCATGATTATTCTCTTTAATAGATTTGTGAGTTTTCAAACAGTCTTTTGATTCAATTTGTTAAGAAATGAAGCATTAAAAGTACATTTTGTTGCTATTCTCAATAAATAATAAATATTTAATATATACGAGATAATCTATATGTTTCGTCTAATTAATAATGTCTTACAAATGATTTGTGTCTTACATTTCATCTGATAAGTCTTTCAAAGACATGTTGGAAAGACATTTTTGGCAAACATTTATTTTATATAAAAACATTTTATTTGTTAACATTGAAACTCTAAGTTTATGGGATCCTCTTTTGACTTAATAAATATTTTATAAAAAAAAAAGTTAAGATTTTTTTTATGACAGGAGAATGTAAATTTTGGGAGGAAGAGATGGAGAACATTTTGGAAGGAAGGAAACAAAAAAAAAAGAAATAAAAACTTTTGGAGGGAGAAACAAAAATCTCCGGATGGAGTAATTAAAAAGAATATAAAATTATACTGTCTGGTCCAAAACTTTTAACCAAATCACACAAACCAATATAAATGATTATGTTAGTTGATTTTATTGAATTTATTAAACAAAATCATGAATTACCAATTTAACTTTTCTTGCTTATAATTGAATTTTCATGAGAGTCAAAGATATTATTTCATATAAATATTTATGCATAAAAAAGGATCAACAATTTATCTTAAATTGTGCTTTATAATAAGGACCCAAGGGAATAGTTTTTAATAAATAAAAAAAATTTATGCTGGTGACAATATTTGAATATGAATATTTCTTAATAAGTTCTATATACAACTTATCAAAATAAATTCAAAATATGTTACACACTATCCATAAAATATTTTATATTTTATATTTTATTATAATAATTACATTTACTTTTAATTTGTCAAAAAATGAAATGTAAATAAAAAAAATTATAAAAGTGTGAATTGCTAATAAGATCTCATTATTGGATCAAAATTTGTAAAAATGTAATGTGAATTATTTAAAAATGATGTGAGATAGTGATCTCATTTAATGTAAAATAAGAACCTTAATAAGTTGCTTATAAAAACCATTATTGTAGATGCTCTAATACACTTCTCTCATTACATTTACTCTCATTAGTTCAATTTTTTTTTGTAAAGATAAGGAAACATTACAAAGATGATCGCAATGAGGATTGAATATAGGTCTTCATGCTTTTAACTACCCCAACCCCTCCCCACCCAATCACTAGGCTAATCCTAGTAGTTTCATTAGTTCAAATTTATTGAAAACTACAAATTTAAGAGAGAGAGTCATTAAATAAAATGTGTTAGAAAAAAATGTGTTAGAGAGTGTGTTATTAATATATTTTGTTTAGTAATGTACCTGTCTAAAGGATACACCAATAATCCTTTCGTATAATATTAACTGAATTTAATGTGATGTTTTCACTATCAGAGACACTAGTAGATAGATTTTATGCAATAATATTTGATAAATTTATTAATAAAATTTGAATATAAAGACTAAAATGAGATTTTTCTGAAATTATAAGGATTAAAAACAACAATTTTAACAATTTTAAATTTGAGAGACCAAAAATAAATTTATCCTAAATTTGAGGGAGTAAAAACATATTTAAGCCATTTTGAAAATATAAATTTATGATACATTTAATATTATTAATTAGATTATTCAACTTTTTATTTATATTGAATTAGGTAAGTAAGTTTATATAAAATTATCGATGAAATATTAAATAATTTAATTTATAAAAATTTTAATCACGCCAATAAAATTTTAACTTAAATTTCTGCATATATTACTCCAAACTTTTCACAATTAACCTGACCCGAGTGGTAGGATGAAATAACATACAAAAACTCTTTAATATATTAATGCATATATTATATGGTTAGAAATTTTAGCACTATTGTGCATATATTATCTATTATATAAGTAAAATATATTTTTAATTTAAGTAAAATATAAATATATTATTTTTAAAATTATAAGAAAATTAAGGGGGGTGTATTGGATTAGGATTTTAAAGGACTTTTTTAGTTAAAAAAAATCCTGCGGATTTTAAAAGACTTTCTTTAAATTTTTGCCACCATTAAAAATCTTTGGACATTGACTCCAATGAGGCAAAATGGATCTCTACATTCATCCTCTATAGCCAATTTGTGGATTAATGTTGTTGAACAATGATCATTTGTTGTTAGACCTTTTGTAACATCTTCATCATTGTGTTGATGGAAACACCATGTCCAACTAAGTCAATGGCATTGAGCAAATGCTACAGCCACGTCTAGTTTTGCATATGGAAGGGTTCACACCTTCACAATGAAGAGGAAGGTTAATGAAACAGATTGGTTTCTAGAAATGTACCCACAAATTCAAAATCTTTCATTTTCACCTTTTTTCAACCTAAAATGGTACTTCACTTTAAAATGAAAGCTTGCTCATATCTCTCCCATTGTCTTGGAATCTAATTGGTAGTTTAAAGAATCCCATGATCATACACATAGACTCTTAAATGGAACAAGTTTCCACAATTCTACAACATGCATCAAGAATTTCAACAGTAAAATCCGAAGTCAATGCAATTACTTCCCAAGATAATAATCTGTTCCCAAACATGCACTAAGGTCCATTGGTTCTTTCATTAGGGGCCTTATTAGAACACATTATATACCAATGTGTATAAGCTTGGGCTGTCTTAACATGGCTCATTTGATGACTCAGTAAAATCGATGTCACAACTTTAACTGCATCAAATGCAATCATGTAGAACCCTGCTCCTACTCAGATCAAGTAAGATTTCCTCTAGTGGAAGATACTCGTGATCTCTACCCGGAAAAAAAAATTTAAGCAATTATTGCCCCCAAAATAAGATAAACCAAATATGCACTTAATCAGACAGCTGAACCCCACCTCATTGTTCTAGATTATATATCTACAAAATGCAATCTTTCTTGTTGCAAGTTTCCTCTGAAGTAAGAAGTACATACGGTAAAATTTTTTTAAAAAAATCACCTATTTAAGAAAGCTAAAAGAACATTTGAGATAAAAATTGTGCTCCTCAAGCAACCACCCATTTAAAAAAGTTAAATGAACAGAAAAAGATGAAAAATTGCACTTGAAAGTGATTTTGACAAGACAAACAAAAGTATCTACAAAATAAATTATTAGTTAGTGCAAGGATAAATTTTCAATGCTTAAAACAAACATTGAAAATGAATAGCAAAATCCATTGAATCAATTGATATATAAGAGACTAAGACAAACATACCCCAAAAAAACTAATAACTTATGGAACATAAATTTTTAGTTTTGGAAAAAATGGAGAGAGAAAATTAAGACGATAATAAACACAGTAGATGAATAAGAAGGATAAAGAACCCGTCATGGTGAGAAAAAAGGTATGGAGAAAATATTAATGTCGCACGAGGAACATTATTATAGCACATCTACACCTGTTGTATGATCACATATTAAATTGAAACTGACCAAAAGTGAGTGATTCATGTGTTACACCTGCCATACTATTGTTTTTATCCGGCTAGATGAAGTCAGTTATTAAAAGTGAGTGATTCATGTGTTACATCAGCCGTCCTCCTTTACCCGGTTTAGGGACTGGCTATGAGACCATATGGGTGTGCAAAAATTAATGTAAAGCATCAATGAATTTATTCCAAGATGAATACAAAAAATTAATTATTAATAACAAACATTGAATATAAACCGGAAAAAATGGAGGCAACTAACCTGTACAACTTCAGTGCATAAAACACCATTTCCTTCAACACGCGGTTGGTGGGCAACATAGCCATTATCCACAGGCTCTACCCCTGGAACCATTCCCGCTGCATCATCCCATTCTTCTTCAATGAAGGGAGCATATCGTTGCCCATTCGGAGGTCCTATGTTATTTTTGTGAAATACTCTACACAAAACATACGCATCCTTCTCCATCCAGCAGAAAAATGCACAAAAATTATTAACTATTTGTAACACAATAACAATGCCCACATTACACAGCACATAGCAAACTATTCTTTCGACTTTTACTAAAGAACAAAGTTCAAACTCCTGCATCCAAGAGTCATATACACAATTTCGGTTTGGGAACCACATATAATAACCAAGCTCCTTATTTTATCAACAAGAAAACGAGGAAACCCCTCAGTTGCTGCACAGAAACAGCACAAAATTCATACAGTTTAGGCCCATCTCAGGCTTCAATTTCTAAAACGAAATCTAGAATCTCACCTGGGGCTGAGAGGATCCAGTCCCAATCCTCTCCATCTCCTTTTCAGTAAGCCTGTACTCATGCATGACCCAATTAGTCCTCTTGCCATCCGGAGCCCGTCCACTATGAAACACCAAAGTTTTCTTCAACCCCACAACCCTTTCTTCATGCTTCACTTGTCGATCATTCCCAGTGGCTTTCCAATACCCTTTGCCCGTAGCCCTGTTCATCCTCCCCCCATTCCCATATTTCTTGTCCAATGCACTGAAAAAATACCACTCCTGGTCCCTGGTCTTCAGCCTTGACTTATCTAAACAAACATACAGCCCACCACCATTTCCAGGAGTTAAGAACAAAAAATCAGAAAACCAACAAAAACCCAAACCAAAGAAAGAAAAATCCATCCAAGTGAAGCAGCTGAGAAAGCAAACACACACACCCAGAAGAATAAAACAGCAAAAAATTCAATTTTTAGCATAAAAAAGGTGAAAAGATTGGGGAAAAGGGAGTGACCTGCCAGGTCCCCGGGCTCGCTCCTGTATATGTCAACCTCAGATATAGCATCGAATCTAAAAGGTTTTCCTGAAACCTTGCGTTTGAGGTAGTAAATAACAAGTTCCTCATCAGTTGGGTGGAACCTGAAGCCAGGAGCAAGGGAGGTAGGTGGTGCTGCCACTGGGTTCACTGTGGTGGAGGCAGTGGTTGGAAGGAACACACTTTCGCGACCCATGTTGGAATAGAAGAAGAAACAAAAGGGGTGGTGGATATGGTGATTAGGGCTTCAGTGCTGAAGTTCCCTACGCAAAACGGAAAAGATGGGTCTTTGATTGAGGGTCAAGCAACAAAAGAGAAGGGTACCTTCAATGTCAAGAAATTCTAACACTTGGGGGCTTCCAGGGATTGTGATTTTCCCATTTTCTTTTTCTTTTTCTTTTATACTTTATTTCTTCCAAAATGAAAATAATCAAGTTTGTCTTCTGCTGTGTTGTGTTGTGTTGCTGTTTCTTTTGAAACTCAACAACCCAAAAATAATCCCATCTTTTTCTCTTGTTGGATATTTTTTATTTTTTATTTTAAGTTAGATTGCATTGCTGTATTTGAATAAAAAGATGTAATTTGATTTGGATTGAAGGGGGGCTTTTTTGGAAAGCACACGATTGGGTTTTCTCTTTTACCGTTTTACTGCTCTCCAATTGGGAAGTGAGTAAATGGGAGGATTTTCTTCCTTTTATTGATGTGAGCAAATAATTTGGGACCATCTTCAGGCACATGTGGCCCATCCTTCTTAGTCTTTTGTTATCATCTTGTTTCAGGACCAAATAACTATTCTGCCCCTCCTCAGGCCAATAATTTTAACCCAAATTATATTCATACTTTCTCAAATTTAATATTCTTCTCTCTTTTTTTTACAGGTTTAATGATTATTGTAATTTTTTTACACAATTGATTATTATTAATATAAATTTTTAAAAATAATTATTATAAAGATTAATAAATTTATTATATGTAATAATTTGTAATTAAATGAAAACATAAAAATATAGTCTCCATCCTTATTTTCTAGTTTTTTTAGTTTTATATATTTATAAAAAAAATTACTTAGTTATGATGTTCCTTGACACGATATTTTTAAGATAAATTATATTCATATTTAGTACAATTTTATTTTTGTACAAATATAAAATAGTTTATATAATATATGAATATTTACATTATCATTCGATCATAAATATCTATTATATATGTCACTTTTAAAAAAATTATTTTAAAATTACATCTATTCTTATTTGTTATTAGTTGGTAATGTATAATATTTTTTTTATACTGCTACTAAAATATAGCAACCAAATATTTAAACGGTCGATAATGTGTCTACAACTTTGAGAGCATAATGGTTGTTTTTATGTTATTTATCATTAACATGGTTATATCATATGTAATTTACAATAATTTATGATATCACTCTCATTTGTTCGCCTATACTAAAATATGAAACATACACAATAATTACATTATGAGAAATTGATCATTTTCACTAAATAGTATCCTCGATAGTTAATATCATATATATTTCATGTTAACTTTATATGAAATAAATGTGTATATCAGGTTGAAGTTAAATTAATCATAAAAAAAATGATGTTGTTTGATAAACTCTAGGGAAGAATCCTTGTGTCTATGTCTCTATGACAATCTTTCAAGTTGATATTTGTTGATTGATTCAAGTTTATAAGTTGTTGTGCTTTGAATTCTAATCTTGAAGACAAAAAGGGAGGTCACATGTAAGGATTTAGACCCTGAGTTTTTATCAAACTAAACAAGATGGATATGGAATTAAACATACTTAGGTAGCAAAATGTTATTGGATTTTATAGCTTATGATTGATAAGATGAGAAGGAAATGTTATTTTATTGTGATGAGGTCTTTGTCTTCTAGAAGGTATAGTCAAAATTGTATTTTAATTATTTCAAAGTGATAGAAGACTATCACTAATGTTGTTGGGAATCATTTCAAGATTTATGTACAATTAGGATTAAAGCAAATGAAGTTGAACCATTATTAATAGAAAGTTACCATTAATACTATTAGGGGTCATTTCAAGCTTTATACACAGTTGAGATCAAAACAAAATAAGTTGGACTTGGGATGGGTTAAGTCCCAAGTCCAAAAAAATATTAATAATAACAAAAATTGTTAAGTCAATAGCTTTAATGTTGAAAAGTACTAGCTTATTGATGTATGTCTAAAAATGGGCATATGAGTTAGCTTGGCTTGTTTAAGATTCGACTTGCAAAACTCACATTTTAATAGGTTAGATAAGTTAAACCCATAAAATAAATAATTTTTTTCTCTTGACCCATATTTGTCCTACAAAGCCCATGGTTAAATGGACAAGCTTGCGAGCTCAAAAGAAAATAAAAATTAGAAGAATTTTTTCCCCTTTTTATGCTAAGAAAATGAGGCAAAAATACATTAAAAAAATATTATATAAAAAATAATAAAAAATTATGAAAGTCTTAACATATAATATTGACACATTTAAGTTAAAACATTAAAGTATTAACATATCAAACTTGCATATTTAATTTAAAATATATTAAGGTTAAAAAGTACAATATATTTTAAATTATAAAATATACCAAATTTAATACTTATCACTTGTATTTATTTACTAAAATAAAGTTAAACTCAATTATTTTAAAAGTCCTGCATAATAATTATTGGAAAAAATATATTTTTTAAACCAGTCGACTCGCAAGATTCACAAGTTAAGCCCACGAAATTCATAGACTTTGCAAGCTAAACTCAATTTTTGTTATGCAAATTTTTTTAAAATGTGTCCATTAACTATACAGGCTTGAATCTAAGTTCATATACTCACCCTGTGTCCGAAGTATTGGTTTGAATTAGTAAGTCTAAAATAGATATTAAATATGGTTTCTTTACACCATATAAGAAACGTGGATGTAATTTTTTTTACACCTTTAAATAGATTTTAAATTATTAAAATAAGTAAATGTCATTTTTTTTTATTACCAAGGAGTGTTTTTCATGGAACACAAAAACAATCTTCCTTGAGAGTTTGACAAACGTCAAATAAGTGGATATCCCTTCTCAACTTGAGTTTTTGCATTCACAAAAGTCATAATTCAAACCTTAGTCACTTGGTTAAGCAGCATGAGTCTTTACCTACTTGCGCCAACTCAAGTTAGTTGTAAGTAAATGACATTTAAATCAATGATTCAAGTCATATCGACTATGGCTTCTTTGGTAAAGTTTGTAAAGTCCTCAACGTTAAGAATTTAATTTATATTTTGTGATTTTTATCTTTTTTCATTTAAAAAAAACTGATCATTTGCATCTTAACCCAATTCAAAAAAATTGGTATCAATTAATTTAGTTCAACTTTTATTAATTACATTTTTATAACTTTACTATAGTAAAATTGTTTATAAACAATGCTTATTAGCTTAAATATGTTTTTAGTCCCTCAAATTTAAGATAAATTTGTTTTTGGTCTCTCAAATTTAAAACTGTTATTTTTAGTTATTGTAATTTTCAAAAATATTGTTTTAGTTCCTTAGGTCACTAATAACATATCTGAAAATGATAAATTAAGACAGTTATACAATATTAACTGAATTTAATGTGATGTTTTCACTATCAGAGACACTAGTAGATAGATTTTATGCAATAATATTTGATAAATTTATTAATAAAATTTGAATATAAAGACTAAAATGAGATTTTTCTGAAATTATAAGGATTAAAAACAACAATTTTTAATAACTTAGATAAAAAAAAAGTAAACACTTTAATTAAATAGATTCTCATATAGCCTCTAAAGTCAACATCATTTAACTCTTTCATTAAATTATTTTTCTCTAAACACGCTTTAAATACAACATTTCTCTCTTCACAGCTATACGTCCCAAAGTTTTTTTATAACCAAAAAAAAAAAAAAAAAAAAAACCTTCCCCTTCAAGCCATGGCCATTTCTAGAGTTCAGCTGGCTTCAATACTCATTTTTCTAGCCATCGTGAATCTCGTGGAGTCAAATACAATTGTAAACGTATTAATTTCCATAAATTTTATTGTTACATTCGTTTTTTGTTACAGACTAATCCCAATTATTTGCTTAAATTATGTTGACCTCAAACTTTTATTTCCCCAAATCAACATTCAAATGAATTAGTGATGTTTTTTTTTCTTCTTTAAATATCAGGTAACCAGGACCGTGGTGAAGGAAACAGATTCTGACTATTTCCCTCTATACATTGGTACAAAATACAAATTCTGATTGTAAACCGCCAACTTAATATTTGATACCATATGAAAACTTTTAATAAATGAAATTTTAAAAACTTTTCACAAGTCTCTCAGTTTATAATTTTTTTTATTTAACAACTTAAATATATTTTTAATCATGTAAAATGAGTAATTTTGATTGTGATCATTATTAATTTTGTTTTTTTTTTCATCTCTTTAAATTTTGTAAATATTATTTTTAATTAATGTAAAATGAGTTAATTTTGATTTTGGTTCTCTAAAATATTTTTCTTTAATTTTCATCTTTATAAAGTTGAAATTCGCTAGTTTTTTTATCTGTAACAGTTATTTTAAGGTACATATATAATATTAATGAAAAAATTTATAAATTATTAAGTTTGTAAATAATACTCAAGATGATCACTTAATTTTTTTATTTTCATATAAAAAAATTGGTTAAAAAAAGATTACATCAAAGTAAAAATTAAAACCGAGTTTCAAATTTTAAATGATAAAAATAAAGATTTTTTTTACAAATATAAAAATTAAAATCTGTTCATTTTGTAATTTAAATTAGTTGATAAAAATATTTAATGTATCTGATCTGACTCTCAGTGGGTGCTTTATTTATTTATTTTTTATATAATGTAGATTGTCCTTCTGAATGCAACCGGAGATGCCGGTTATCGTCAAGGCCGAATCTGTGTAATAGAGCCTGTGGAACCTGCTGTCAACGGTGTCATTGTGTGCCTTCGGGTACCTACGGTCACTATGAAGAGTGTCCATGCTACGCAAATATGACTACCCACGGTGGAAGACACAAATGCCCTTAATTAGTTACATTCATATGTTCTATCTTTTCCTTCTCAATAAAGTGAAATTGAATATGAATCCAAATATGTTGATTTGGTTGTTTTGTTGCAAATATGTTGCAGTCACTTATTATTACTTTCACTTTTTACATGACTTAATTATCTAATTTATTACAATTATGAAAAATATTTAACTTAATTAATAATAATTTTGTCTTATCTATCCATATATTATTAAAAGTATAATAACTTGTTAAAATAATTTTATACTAAAAATTATATAATGCATACTTACTTTTTCCTAAAACTTTTTAGTTTTTTAAAATTCAAATATTTTTCATTAATTATAAAATAAATTTATTAGTACTTAATGAATTTATAACCCTAACATCAATTATAAGAACACTAACTTCATATTGATTTTACATGAATTGTGCTATTAATATATATAAACTTTTTCACATTGATATTATTTAATTATTATTTTATATGGTATTCATCCTTAAAAAAAAAAGATATATTTTCTCCTTTTTTCTCATTATCTTATCATATATAAATTTGCAATACAAAATTTGAATCAATGTGTACTAATAAAGAGTGAAAAATCGTTAAAAGCCTATCACATAATATATAATATACTTCTAAATTCAATTTATGAAGCGGTAAAGACAATATAATAATTTTAATAATTTAATAGTTATGAAACAACATGTAAAGATAAAGATAAAAAAAAAGTTTAAATTATAGTTTTAATTAAATGTAAAGATTCCCTTAAAAAAATTAAATGTAAAGATGAAATTAAGTTCAAAGTCGCCTGACATGTAAAATGAAGAAATCATTCAGTTATAACGTCTCTATATTTAATGGACGTTGAAAATATTGAATAATGAACATTAAGAAGTTTTAATGCAAAATTAATCTTATTATTAATTGAAAAATAATACATTAAATTACATTTAATTAGTATTTATATATATATATATTAATAAATATATTTATTAATAGGTTGAATTTGATTAAAATTTTAATTGTAAAAAAATGATTGTGAAGATTTTTTTTAAAAAAAACCTAATAAATAAAATATTATTAATTGTAAAAAAAATAAAAAATTGGGTGAAAATTATAACATTTATAATGTAAAATATTTGTGGTATATTTTACTAATAAACTACCATGTTTATTAACAACTCTCATTAGAGTGTAATGATGTGATGTATAAAATTACTTAAAAAAATAAATAATAACTTTTAAATAAATAACGTTGCTTGAAACATAAATTAGTCTAACAAATAAAAAAAATATATTATTTACTATGTTTAAGTGTAAAAAAAAAAAAAAAGTTATAAAAGTGCAAGTTATTTATAAGATTCTACTATTAGAGCAAAGTTTGTAAAAATATAATAATAGTTGATTAAAAATAATATGATATCCAATTTAAAGTGAAATAAAAACCTTAATAAGTTACTTACAATAATTACTATTGAAGATGTTCTAATGTTATTACATATAAAGTAGTTGATAATTCAAAATTATATTTAGTTAGTGTGTATAATTATATTAAGAGGAATATGACAAATAATATTTAAATGAAATAGTATACTTTTAAAAATAATTAAATAATTTTCTTTTATAACTTATTTGTATATGTTTTCTTAAAATATGATAACATATAGTATACCTCTAAATTTGATTTACAACACAATAAAGATAATATAATAATTTTAGCAATTTAATCGTCACAAAACATGTAAATATAAAGATTAAAAAGTAAGTTTAAATTATAATTTTTGTTAAATGTAGAGATAAAATCAAGTTCAAAGTCACCCAATATGTAAAAGGATTAAATTATTCCATTAGAACATTTATATAAATAATTTTGAACCAATTCAAATTAATTAAAATTTAATAAAATATAATTCAAATTTAATCCAATCTCTCTTATATCTTTAAATAATTATTGGTGGACTTAATAATATTATTAATTTTCCAAATTTGAGATTTTTTTTCCTTTCCATTTTTTAGTTTTCCATACCTTTATGTATTTTTAAAATAAAAGTGAATGATTAATAATAATATTTTTTTAATAAATTTAGTTGTAAAGATAATTTTTAAAAAAATGATTAAAAGAAATCGAGTAGTTGAAAGGCGTAGCTTTAGAAGTGATTATATGAATTTTTTTATATTTAATATAAATTATTGAAAATATTGTTCACTTTATTCATTTAAAAACTGTATCAAATTGGCCGGTCAGACCGATTGAACCGGGAATTTGTGGTCTAGTCGATCCAAATCTTGAGTTGGATCGGTTATGCATTTGACCTGTTTCAAATTGGAGTAAACTAGTCAGTTTTCTGGTTCAACTAGTAAATCGGTAAGTCAAACCGGTTCAACTCAAAAAAAATTATTTTAATTTTTTTATGTATTTCTTTATACAAAATAAAAATTTAAAATTATTTTATTTTTTTTATGTATTTTTTATATAAAATAAAAATAAAAATAATTTTAAATAAGATAAAATTTTAAATTTAAGATAGAATATAAATTTATTAAAATTTATAAGCATAAAATATATTTAACATGAATATTTTTTTTAAAAAATTAATAAAAATTAGATCATACACTTTAATTAATAACCTATTAATTTAACCTTTAATTCACTGTAACTAATTCGATGATCCATCCAATTTTTTAAAAGTATGATCTTAACACATCGTTATTCACTTTATAATTTTTTTAACCATGTTAATGAAAAATTCTCACGAGTTACAAAGACTACCGCTCCAATCAACTGCGGAAAAGTAAAACTATTTTTGTTATTGGTGGTTCGTCCAATATATAATATCAACAAAAAGGCATACCTTCTCAGCATTTTTTTAAGGCAATTAATCAAGATGGAAATATTTCTAAAATATTTTAAACTTAATTACAGTTTTGGTCCTTTTAGTTTTATTTTTAATTTTACAATTTTAGTTTATCAATTTTATAAAATTTACAATTCTGTTCCTCCACTAAATATTCACCTGTTGATCATTAAAATTATAATATTATCTTTGACTTATTATTAGGTAAATGACACAATGATTAATATTTAGATTAATTTATCCTTTTAATTTTTATTTTTATCTCATTTAATCACTTTTATGAGATAACAAAGATATATTTACATAATTTAACATAATATTATCAAATATTACTTGTCATGTCATTTATTTAATGTTAGATTATTGTAACAATCGAATGATAAATGGATAAACATTTAAATAAATGACCAAAATTATGAATTTTATAAAATGGGAGACTAAAATTATGAAAGATGTCAAAATTGCAGATTTAATATTATAAGAGACCAAAAATATAATTTAGTCAATATTTAAAAAATAATCCTTATGTATATTATTAAAATAAATAAATAATTAAAACAAAATATAATTATTATTTATTTTAATAATCCTTTAACTCTAAAAAAATACAATATGGTTTTTAAGTAGAATTAATATTTTGAAAATACAAGAAATCCCAACGATATTTTCTTGATGGTGTGTTTGGATGAAGGATTTTATAAGTTCAAGGAATTTAAATTTTTTGGTATTTGAATTACTTTGATTTCAATTTTTATCATTCTAAAAATATTTTGTTTGTATAAGTCAATTTCAAAATTTAAAAATTTTAAATTTTTAGTCTTTTTTTGTGTTGTGGAAAAAATAAAAGACAAAAAACAAGAAATAAAGTAAATTAGTGTAGTGAACAGATATCCTCCCCGTACACTTGAAACACAAAATTTGGAAGACTCCTCTATGTTACATTTTGAGTTCATAGTCTAGCTCCCCAACTTGCAAGAACATGAGCTACTTGATTAATCTCTCTCGAGATCCCAGTAAATATAACTCGCCAATCTCTCTCCACTAAATCTTTGATATTATTGATTATGTCTCTATGTTTATGAACAAGATTCCTCTCTCAAATAGCACATTCAATCACAAATATCACACCAATACAATCTGACTCGCACACCACTTGTTTGTAACCAAAATTCCAGAAAAAAGATAATCATTCCTTTATAGCCAAAAGTTCAGCTCGCAAAAGATCACCCCTTATTTCTGAACTGGCAAAACCACCCAGCCATCTCCCTACGCTATCCCGAATAACCCATCCAAACCCCATCCTATTCTGACCTTTCAACCAGCTACCATCAATATTTACTTTAATTCCTGGATAATCTGGTGGGGACCAGCAAGTGTTTTCCAACCATGTTTTCCTAGAATTAAGCCACCAATTCAATTTAACAAGGGAAACATTCACCTTCTTTAGCACTGAAAGCATTGACCAACGCGAACCTTGAAAAATCATATTGTTTCTATATATCCATATCCACCAACTGGCCATGGCCAACTTAACTTCGCTATGGCCAGTTTGGATATGGAGATATAGAAACAAACTAAAAAATTTCGCTATGATTTTTACTTTGGATATATTAATTTGATTCTATTATGGTAAAATTGATTTAAAAAATATATTCATATGTTAAGATTTTTAAATTTAATTTTATAAAAATAAATATTAACTAATCTTAAAATATTTAATAATTTTAAAAATCAATATTAGATAATATTTAATAATTTTAAAAATACTTTTGAATATTCACTAATTAAAATAATAAAGAGATAAGAGATAAGATAAAATATATAAGTAAAATAAGAAAAATAAATATGAAAATTTTCAAATTCTTATTTTTTTTTGAAGAATTTTGAAATTCTACTATTTTAAAGAATTTGATAAATATTTAAATTTCAAATTATTTATAAATTATCTATTAAAACAAAATATTTCACCTCAAAAAAATTTGAAATTCTTAAAATAAATAAATTATTCTATTTAAATTTTTCATCCAAATACACTTTAATGATTCTTCTTTATAACCTATCTTAATCATTAACTAGAATATATAAATTGTATAAGTCTCGTGTTTTATTAAATAAACCTCTTCTTATTTAAATTTTTAAAAATCTAACAAAATTTGCAATTTTCAAACATGAGTCAATAAAATATCATCAAGAGATTTGACTAGCATTTCTCTTCACAAAATATACAACAAGGTGAACAAGGTCAATGGACCTTTTTCTCCCTTACAACCCTAATTTATATATCTCCAAATTTCAATCAGTTAGTGACCACGAAACTAAAACCAAAACCAAAACTCGAGCGAGCTTTCACTTCCCCAGGATCTAACCTGGTACTTAACACTTTCCTGTTTTGTTTTTTCTTCCTTTATTTCGACCTTTTGTCGTTCATTTCTTAGACGGTCATCAAAGTTTGAATCTTTTTACCATCTGTGTACTAGTCATAAGCAATTTTATGCAGTTTTCCCATTTGGGTTTCTTGCTTTAAGCCTAAGGTTTTGGTCAAGGAGATATTTTTTTTTCCCTTCCTAACGTGTTTGCAGTGTTTAAATAGCGTTTCCATGGAAGAAGCACAATTGTAAGAATTGTCTGCTTGTAGAATTTCAGAATTCACGGTGACCCTTTATGAGAACATGGTTGGTGAAAGAGAAACCCTCGAGGAGCCTGTAGAAAGGGAGGGTTCTTTGGTTGGGGATGGGAAGGACTTGGGGGTTTTGGGTTCTGATTTGTCCATAGAAGATGGTGTTGTTTGTAATCTTGTGGGTGATGCTGAGCTGAATGATGATGTGGGTTTTGATGGATCAGAAGAGGAGGGTAAAAGGGTGAATCCTACAGATGGATGGACTACTGGGGATGTTGGTGAGAGTTCTCAAGTTGGGAGATCCTTAGAAGGTAAGAGTGAGAATGATGCTGCTGAATTAGAGGGAAATGATGTCTCCTTGAAAACATTGGATGAGCGGAAGAACATTGATGACAAGGAGGTGAATGAATTACTGGAGAAGGAAGCAATTAGCGATGCTATTCAGGTTGAGTCAGATGTTAGGCAAAGCATTGAAGAGCAAGCTGGAGTTTCTGAGCAGGTTGGTTCACGTGGAGAGAAGGAAATTGAAGGTGAAAAATTTGATGATGCTGAACGGCAAAAACCAACAGGTGGAAAAGTCACAAAGCATATGTCACATGAGAGTTCACAAAACATTCTTCAGGCAAGTTATCAGCTGCCACAGGAAAAAGGTGAGTTTTCTGTGTATGATATGGTTTGGGGCAAGGTGAAAAGCCATCCATGGTGGCCGGCGCAGATATTTGATCCCGTGGATGCTTCTGTGGAGGCAAAGAAGCATTTAAAAAAGGATCGCTATTTGGTTGCGTATTTTGGGGATAGAACATTTGCCTGGAATGAATCATCTCAGCTAAAGCCCTTTAGGACTCATTTCTCTCATATTGTAAAGCAGAGTAATTCAGATGCATTTCAGAATGCTGTTGATTGTGCCTTCGATGAAGTCACAAGACGTGTAGAATTTGGGTTAGCATGTTCCTGCGTACCTAAAGATACTTATGACAAGATTAAACTTCAGATTGTTGAAAACACTGGGATTCAACAAGAACTTAGCGTCACACGCAGAGTGGATGAATCTTTAAATGTTAGTTCCTTTTCACCTGAGAACCTTTTGGAATACTTGAAAAGTCTATCCGAGTTTCCAACTGGTGGATTTGATCGATTGGAGCTTTTAGTTGCTAAGGCTCAGTTGCTTGCTTTCTATCGTTTAAAGGGTTACTCTTCCTTGCCTGAGTTACAATATTGTGGAGGTTTGGATAATGATACTGGTGCCTTAATTAAGGATGCTGATAAAAAATTGAGTGAAGTTAATAAGCATGCAACTCACATGAGTAAAAGTGATGGTCAAACTGGAGCTGGAAATTTGAAGACAACAAATAGCTCCTATCGCAAACGCAAGCATAATTTGAAAGATGATACGTATTCTGAAAAGAAGAAAAGAAGCTTGTCAGAACCAGCAGGTGGGACTCCGGATTCTACAAAGGGTGGTTATCGGTCAGGTGAGGACACTGATAATCTGATTCATCCTACCTCTTCCAAGAAAAGAAGGACTATTGATCACTATGCTGGTGTTTCAGGGATGAAAGATCGGAGAAAAACAATTTCCCTTGCTAAAGTTTCAAATACCACAAAACAATCATTTAAAATTGGTGAATGTATTCGTAGGGTTGCTAGTCAACTTACTGGGCCACCCTCTTTGAAGTGTTCTGGAGACAGGTCTCAAATGGAAGATGGAAGTGCTGATGGTGTTGCAGGAAATGGATCCAATGTCCTCTCCCCTAATCTTGAGAAGACTCAGAAGTCAAGCTTGATTGTTCCAACAGAATATTCATCTCTAGATGATTTGCTACATTTGCTTCAGTGGGTAGCACAAGAACCCCGGGGAGATTATAGTTCTTTGAATGTTATAGTGAGCTTCTTCTCTGATTTCAGGAATTCAATAATTGTGGCCAATGAGTCTGGAAAAGAAATTTCACCTACAAATAAAGTTGGCATTACTAAAAGGAAGAAACGACCTGTGGCTGGATCACCTGAAACGTTTGAATCTGATGATCTGAGCGACACATATTTGATTGACATGGTCATCCAGAGTCGTTCTGTAAAACAGAAGTCACAGAGAAGCAGCAAAAGAGACTACCAACATGCCCCAGCTCAGCCAGAAAAACCTGTTATAGTTTATACTCGAAGGTCTAGGTCTTATTCCAAGAAACAATGTTCTGACAGCAATCTTGTTGAGGTTCCTGAAAAACCTTCTGGCTGTGTAGATAAGAATTCCCCAGCTGAACTTGTTTTGGAATTTGCTGAGCTGGATTCTGTTCCCTCAGAAATGAGCTTAAATAAGTCTTTTAGGCGATTTGGATCTCTAAATGAATCTGAAACAGAAGTTGATAGAGGGAGCAGCCAGGCTAGAGTGGTTTTTAAGAAGTATGCCGATGCAGAGATTGCTTTCAGTAGTGCTAAAAAAATCAACATATTTGGACCAGTTCTTGTAAATTACAAGCTTAACCATATTCCGAGTACATTATTCAAAGCTTCATCTTGCACCACAACTCAGGACCATGAGAATGGAGATGCATCATGATCTCTCCAATTCTGAACTTAATATGGTCTACTTGTTTGGTAAGTAACTTTTTGCTACTACATATGCAATCTTAAAGTTACTTTCATTCTAGTTTTGTTTGGGGCTAATTGTATTATTATTGCCTTTCCAGGTCATAAATATTGTAGTACCAGTTGAATGTTTTTTTGGAAGCATGTCAGCTGACCCACAATCTAGAACAGGAGGAGGATGTTTGCAGACATACCCACCACTTCAAGGCAAACGGAAATGAATACGCAGCAACAATCTGAGGTTGCGGAAGAAATAAATATGGAAAAGAAAACAAGGGTATTACTTACTAGAGCAAATTTTATTGGTGATTTTTAGCTATCGTGCTACCAATACATTATCTGTTAGCTCATTTTACTTAGATATATGTGTCATTACAAAATGAAACTTTTCGGTCACGGAGTAGTGGTATCAGAAACATTGGATATATCCATTTTGACATTCAATTGTATGTTGTCTTAAAAATGTTGATAAGTAAACAGTTGTTTCTGTAGTAGGCACAGAAAATTGATTTCATTCTTTTCCTTGGGTTAGCTAGTCTGTGGCCTCCTAATTTAATTGTCACTGTAAAGAGTTGAAAATACTGAAAACTTTGGTATTCGTAGGATTTGCACTCTGCATCTTTTGTTTGATTTGGCACAAATTTGACATTTACTTCAATTGCAATTGTTTTGAGCTCCAACCCCGTAGAATCTGATAAAATGAACCATCACACCCAATCATTGTTGGACTAAGAGGCCATCTGAGCCTACTAGGAGCCTGCGAAGCTATTCAGCTTGCATCCCATGATGCTTTCTATGCCTGATGCAGATGATATATGGCACCTCCTCATGCCATGCTGGTGAAGGACTCTAGAATATTCCACTATTGGAATCTCCTGCCCCCTAAGGGATTACTTCATAACCAAACTCAGGTATCTTACATCCAACACAAGGTGACTTAACCACATTTGAGTCCTATAAATAGATAATAGACTACACACATGCTGAGGCATTAAGCAAGCACATTATTCAACACATTATTACTATGCTAATTTAGCACTGATTGGGGTTGTTAGAGTGCTTTTGCAGGGACCTCCCTTCTTCGTCTTTGCAATTAGACCAATAGATTTCTTGCTTCTCATCACCTCGGAGAAGTAGATTATAGTGGGCTACCAAATACCAATCTTTTGGGCTCAGCTAGATCAGCAATGCTCTGTCAATAATAAATTACACTTGTGATTCTCATTGTAGGGATTGCTGAAAACGACATGGTGGCAAATTGTTATTTTATCTAGCAGCCATTAATTTGTTGTAGGATGCATTAGTTTATTGCTCGTGTAAACCTTCAATTTGGTCTTCTGAAATTACGAGCATTGTCCTTCCAAAAATTTTATCCGCAAATTAGTCTTACAAAGATTTTATCTATTACCATATTAGTCCTCGACCCCCCCGCCCAAAAAAAAAACACTTATTCCCAAACTACGTCACCACATTGATCTCTTAAAACTACCAAGTCAAATAATTCTTTTGAATTTCTTTAAAAAGAAGTTTTTGATTAAAAACGTTTGTGAATATAAAATAAGCTAATATAAACTATAAACAAGCATAAGCATATAAAAAATTAGAAATAATCCCTTGATGGACCGAGTACATGAGCCTATTGTGAATATTGAATTCGTAAAATTCTGCCGTCATCTGAAATGCGGTATATGAATCCATTTCGCCCCAATCTGTTAATGAACATAATCTGAACTGCACAAGAGACTGGGAGAGTTCAACCAATACTAGGCTCATACATAGTCAAGTCAAAGTGTCAGATAATTGTAAGATAACAAGATAAATTAATATTCGTATAACAAGTCTTTATCCTTTTGGATCAAGCATGGTGGCCACATGCCAAAAATAACCTTTAAATTTTTTAAAGGTAAACTTAGGTGGACACCCAAATCAACAATTACTAACATGAATGGTGCAACCTCACGTGTCAACTATTAATTTAAGAATCTATATTAAGCAACGCATCAAGTATTTCTTATCTTCCTTTCTTAATTTTATTAAGTTTTTAATGTTGTGAGCATTCAAATAGACAAACGGTTGTTATAATACTGCACGTTTAGTGATATATCCAACGGTGTACAAAATTAATTATTATACAAAACATAATTTATATTATATAAAATATAAATTACTCCAAGTTTCTATTACGCTATTCCGAGTCTTCTAGATGACTACAAGGAGCTTCAGTACTGAAGATGCCAACCCCTTTTCAAGAACAAGTGTTTCAACAAGTAAACATTTTTTGAAATCATTGAGAAGCAAACTATTTGGCCAAAATAAATCGAGTAGCAAATTCAATATTTGCGAATAATATTTAAAGAAAACTATCAAAGCAGGTGATTTTCACCATGACAAGCTACATGGCGAATCACATGCATAACCCCAAACACTCCCTTGAGTTGGTCAGGCATCTAAATTTGACATATGTATTGATAAAAATCTATATTAGTACCGCAAAAAAATTCTGACACTCAGGCCTTCTACACGAGAACCTAATTTTAAATTGCCAAACCATTGTTTCCATCCATGCCATGCGTACAAGCATTCAAGTGAAATAAATGAAAAGCGTAGAAGCATCTAAACTACTCATGGCTTTGCATTGAAGGCATAACCAGATGTTGTGGTTGCACCTGTAAATCCCAACACATTAAAAAGAATGTCATTAGTCTTAGAGAAACAGAGGTAGACGAAATGTTAGCCGTACAACTGAAAGTAAAGAAATCACACTTAACAAGGATTTGAATTCCTATGCCCAACCAATCTTGATGTTAAAAACACCATGATCAACAAAACAAATCATGCTTATTTGATCTTCAAAGGAGGACTCTGGATGAAGCATACAAAAACAACATTACTGAATCATCTAATTCTAGGCAATTATATTTTGGCTTATGTAATATAACTATCACCCAAGACTTTAGTTGAAGGGCAATATTAAGAGAATTATTCAAGTAATTAGCAAGTGATTTCCAATTTAGGCACCACGAGAAACCTGAAATCACCAATGCCTAGTATTTAATGGTGAAAGGCTTTGTCTTGGCTCTATGTTTGAACATGAACCAACTTTAGAAAGAAACAGATCTGGAGAGTTTTGCATAGGATGGAGCATGTAATCATGTGCACAAAACTTCGCTATCATGTACGATGAGGAGAAACAATAGACTAATAGAGAGGGGAAAAGAGATTTGGAAAATAGAGAGAAAGGGATATTACAAGAGAAGGAGAATAAAACAATTCAATAGCAATCAATCCTAAAACATAAGAGTCAACATATACTGTGTCGGGCCTTGCTAGTAACCAGATAACCAAGCCTATAATGAATGTACCACTCCACACAAATATGATATATTTCCATAATCCTAATATTCCTTTAGCATACACCATTTTTCCTACTTGGTCTTGAAAAAGCTTAATATAATTTTTTTAAAAAAAATGTCTAGACAGAAATAAGTAATTCTAGGTAACAGGCCCTGGAAAGTTAGCATTTTAAACTTTAATTTGCTGAAAATAGAAATAGCGATAGCATCGCTAATATTAGTCTGCTGAAATAACATTGGCTTGTTTCAACAAAGTGTCAAAAATGTTTTTACTTGACAAAGTCAATATTTTTCTCTGCCAACTACCAAATATGAAATTTCAATCAACTTTAAATCTTTCTGATGACAATCACCGCAAAAACAGACTGGTGATAAATATGGTAAACATTTTCCAAAACAATGGATATAACAAATTAAAGGTTGTACTTGCAAATGAATACAATTAGTCATTAGAGGTCACGATTGAAAAGTAAATCCTGTCATAATACCATTGTAGAAGACTATAAGCAAGCCACAACAACTGTAATAATACCATAGTTGTGCTTTGAAGGGTATCATTGTACAATCTAGCACAATTTTCTTTTCTTCTATGGGCTAGAAGTTTTCATCAAAGAGAAGAGGGGTGTTACACAACTAGAGGATGGATAAGGTGTGGTCTGGAACAAAAAAAAAATTATCCAGGAACCTAAAAAAATTGTGTCAATAGTGTATAGGCAATTGAATCTCTCTGTAAATAAAATGACAAAGAAAATAGTAACTCCCTTTAAAAGAACGAGAGCAGAACACAAGAGAATCCATAAACAATTTGCTAGCCCTTAACAAGTTTAAGGGTGAAGAGACACTCAAAACATATTGTATTTTTAAAGGGGTTTGTCAAATTATACAGAGGGATTGGATAGCTTTGTGCCAATGATAATTCTTAATTTCTTTTTCTCTTTCATTTTTATTTACGGAGTAGTCCTTACCCACCAAATTCCTCGTAATTTTATTCTCTCAGTCTTAATGATTTTTCTTTCATCAAAAAACAAATAAAACTTGTAAAACCACTTTATCTCCGTGCAATAGAAGAGAAAGTGGTACTGACACCACACATCATTACACTGTGGTTTATCTCTCTTTCCTTCACATTATCGAGACGCGCGGAGGTTAGGCAAATAAACCCTGATGTCCCACTGGTTTGGCGCATTTCCAGCAGTGATTAAGTAAACACCTAGTAACACTGTAATACCATGTGGAAACAGTGTTTTAAGAGAAAGTACATAAAAACCACTGATAAATATTTTACTACTAATCAAGGTCAAGTGCTCAGGCAGCTTAAATACTACAAACCCAGCAGAAAAACAAAATATATCATATTCCTAATATACTAACATTAGTAATCGAAGAGATACATAATTTTGGTGAAATAAAATTTGAGTATAGCCTTTATTCAGAGTAAGAAGACTTTACAAAGAAACAGGAATAAGAAGAATGGATGAAGCAAATGCTGGAAAACAAAAAAAAAATCCTACAAGGGAATGGACTATGGAGATTGAAACGCTATTGTTTTATGAATGATCCAACAAAGCTTTTTATTCACAGAGTTGTCAACTGGTGAGAAAAAGGAACCCAAAACAAAACAAACCAATGAACACAGACCTGTTGGAGTAAGGATATATTTGAGGAAGGAGCATCTAATCCATACACTCAAGACACAAATTATTCATGAAATAAAACTACATTTCAAATATATTGATGGGATGTAAATCCAAACCCACAAGATTAACATAAAGAATCAAGAACTTAAAACGAACCAGAATGATCATCTCAAAGCTATGATCAGCTGGTGCACAAGCAACACTGGGAAAATATCAAATTTTCATGACACTGGACTTTGCCAGTGAATGCCAGTACTCCCACATCTTAAAAGAAATGAGAATCAATACAACGGGGGTAGAGGTTATTTGGCACATAAAAAGCCTATCATAATATTCAATTTAGCTATTTTTTAATTTTTACTAAGAGTGTTTCTTAACTTCATTTTTTGAATCTCCATAATTGAGCTTGCATGTGTTTGCTAGAAAGATGATTTGGCATTCATGCATTCAAGATAGACGGAGAAAGAAAGACCATTACCTGCAAACCAATATAGTTCAGTGAACCCTGATGAACAAGCTGCCATAAACATAAACCAACAACACATGTAAGGTGCATATTAACCAATGAACCAAACCATTTTACATCAACAAATTGTCACAATAAATTTTTTTTAACCAAAAACAAAACTCCAAAATGGTTATGCAACCACACCTGAGCATTTTGACCTGCAAGGGCAACTTGATCGGGTCTAATAGATCCATCGCCACTTCTAGCAGATCCTTTGGTGTCACCCTATAATAATTTGTGTTCACAAACATTAACATTTCCACTGGCAAAACAGTCCAAGATAAATAACAAAATAACACAATTAGGCCAAGGAATATTGACTAACCTCCGCCTGTGATATTGTAGACATTCCAAAATCAGCAACCAAATAATAAATAAAAAAAAGTCAGATAATTATAAAGCCATAAGGAACATTATCAAAACTTCCAATATTAAAATGAAGCGGAAATGGTGAGAACTTTATGGATCCATAATCCATTCATTGAAAAAGTTCCCCACCCACTCAGCTCATGACCCAACCAAAGTACCAAACACTAACCCACACCTCAAGACGAAAAAGGAAATGTGAACTAGGAAAAATAAGTTCATGTTTTTTTATGTTTATCTGGATTTTACACTTCAAGTTCTAACACATATCCATGTAGTATTTGTACCAACTAAAAACAAAAATTAACAGAAAATGTTTATATATATATATATAAAGAAGTTATCGAGATATAAGGGAGAGAGACAGTGAGATGCAAATACAAGAGGACAAGAAACCCTCAATAATTACATCAAAAAAGAAAGAAAATCACCTCTTTGTACCTTGCTAGGTACACCTTAAGCGGCTCTATGTAGTCTTCAAATCCTAAAGTGGCCATCGCCCATAACAAATCGTCTCCATTAATAGTCTTTCTCTTCTCTTTCTGGCATTTCTCACTCGCCCTGCATCCCATAATATTAAAATATTACAAATTCTATACTAAAAAAAACAAAATATTCCGAATTATATATTTTTTTTTATCCTTCCACAGTCTCACTGAACCAGAGACTAAACTCGCTCATAGTATTGTCACTGTCACTAGCTCAACAAGTTTTCGCAGTGTGTCTAATCACTAGGCGAACAAGTTTTCACACCAAGGTTCTCTGCTAAATAGATCATCCCTGCACCATGTGAGTGCAAGGTGTCTAATCACCAGCTCAACAAGTTTTCACATACAAATTCTCTACTAAATAGATTATCTATATAACATGTGAACGTATGATACTTAATCACTACGCCAACTCATTTGGTTAATTGACGTGTATAATTGGTGACTCACTCGCTGGTGATGAAGCTGATGAACTCGGAAACGCACTCTTGCATGGTGTCTTTAGCGTCCTTAGCAATCTTTCCATTGGGAGGCAACGCCTTCTTCATGATGCGGCTGATGTTGGCAATGGGAAGGTACCGATCCTGCTCCCTCGCGCCGGACGAGGAGCCACGCGGACTCTGCTCGCCGCCACTCTCGTGGCTCCGGGCCG